CACACCAGCATGTGGCATCAGAGGCCTGGGGAGAAGGGATCAGGCTGAGTGTGGGCTCTGCTTGAGTCCACATTGCCTTGGTGTGGCCTCAGGGTTGGAGAGTAAAGGACATGCCCTTTCCCTACCAAATTCCCAAACCTGGGGGGTAGCTACGGTACTTATGTGCTCCAATCCCATTAGAGATATGGCAGAGGCCACGAACGGCCATATCATCTGAGATGTGGGGAACACAAGATGACACTGACTCTAGGGGCTACCTGGGAGCTAGGAGCCCAGGTGTGTCCTCCGTGGAGGAGATGGTACCACAGAAGAGAAAAGTCTAGAGCTACCCCTACTGCAGGGGTGGAGGCAGGGCAAAGAGTGATCAGGGAGTGGTCAGGAAGGTGGTCAGGGCAGTCACTCTGGCTTTCTCCTCCAAGGGGCTCTCAAAGCAGCACCCTCTTCCAGCTGCCTGGTCCCTGCTGGTCCCTGGTAACTAATGCCATTGTGTAGGAGGCCTGGCACTATCATCCCCATTTTCAGATGAGAAAACTAGTTCAGAGAGGTTAATGCCTGCCAAAGCTCAGACAACAGGGCTAGGACTACCACCTCAGTAAACAGCCTCTTTCTTTGCCCAGAATGTTGGCTGCAGAAAGGTTTCCTGCCACTGATAAGCCACAGGGTACCTGTCACCTCTGTGTTCAGCTGAAGGCAGTGATCTTGGGTTAACCCATGTGCAAGGTGGCTTTGTAACCTTAACCATTCACCATATCCTGTTCTCATTTTGTTTCTGAGATAACAAGCATCAAATCTCCTGATGGGTGACAAATCTACCACAGCACCCCTAGACACTCAGACACGAAGCACCAGTTCTGAAGCAATTACCGGCAAAGACGCTCTGAGGGTTCAGGGTTCGTTTCTGTGGGAGAGTTTAAGCTCAAATTAGTGTCATCCAGCTACCTGAAGGATCTTCCTTGGAGGAGACAATTAGGCTGCATAGTGCAAGGTACTGGGAGGGCAGCAGTACATGCACAGCTCAGCCCCTGATGGCACAACATCAGGAAAGCAACATACCTCCATGAAAGTCTTCCCAGGTATGAGGCACTGGGCTGGGCTCAGTGCTCCACACACATAGTTATCATGTAATCTTCCTAATACCCCTAGAGGTGGGTGCTGTTCTAGTCTCTTCTGCATAGGAAAGGAAACTGAGTTCGGGGACTGCCCTGCCTAGAGCCATGGAGCCTGGAGGTGGCAGACCAGGCGCGTTTGACTCTGGAGCTTGAGTTCTTCACCACCATACTGTCTGTTCATCTGGTAGCCAGAGGGGGAGGCTGGGCCTCAAGGAGGTCGTCACCGGGTAGAGGCAGAGCAAAGGCCAAGGGAGCCACAGCCCAGTGCTCCTGCCAGCCCTTACTCCACAGGCCTGGTTCACCAGCTGACAAGTGCTTGGTTTCCTTCTCTACCTCAGTCTGGAGAACAGCTGGGCACCTGGTCAGTGGAGATGGCAGAAGGTGGGCCTAAATGACCGAAAAGGGGGGTGTACAGGTGTGTCTGGAGGGCTCTGATGAACCCCATCTTTTCTGCGGAAGTCAGGGGCTGTGCTCCTGCTCTCACCACCATTCTAGCTCTGAGCCACGCACAGGGACCACTGGGAGGTTGCTGAGTGAGTTCCAACATCCGGCCAGGTCTTCTTGGCAGGCTGGACTTTGGGACCTCTTCCTGACCCATCTCTGCCATGAGGAGGGGCAGCGCAAGCAACTTCCTTAGCCCCAAGAATGTGTACTTGTGCGAAAGCGCGAACACGGAGGCGGGAAGATGGGCAAAATAGGGACATGGGGTGGGGAGAAGAGAGCTGAACTCTTCCGAATGACTCTTAAGCCAGTGGACTGGAGGGAGGAGTCCAAAGCCTAGTTCTGGCACCTCTAACACCACAAATTATCCGGCTTCCTGAGGCTTCAGCTTCTTTGGCTATAAAATGAGATGATAATTTCCACTCCCTGGTGGGCAGCACAGGGACTAGTGAGGTCATGTGTAAGAGCAGCTGGTGCAAGAAAGGTGCATAACAGAGTCACTTTCAACAACACTACTTCCAAGTGGCTTGATACTCCTCATGAATTTAGACTTAGTGTTTAAGGTCTCCCAGGTCCCTTCTTACTTTGGACTTGCTTATTTTTTCTTGAAGTTTCTTGCCAGGGATGCTTACACAAATCTAGGGCTTCAGATATTCCACACTTTCTCAGACTCTTGGTGTTTTTTATTTAGGTCTTAAAACTTAAGAAGAAAAAGAATGTAGGAAAACACTACCAGAAATACTTGTGTTTATCTCCAGCTAGTGCACAAAAAGGTGCCTGACAATGCAGCCTTTAACTGACTTGGAAGAGTGGCTCTTCACCCAAACAGAAGTGCAGGGATTGCAGGTTCCCGTCAGCTAGTACCAGATCCGTCTTGGTGGTCGTGGACCAGCATGCTGGCAGTTTCCTTCCCCTGGAACAGTTCCTGATTTCCCAAGACCAAAACCACACATATTTGTCAGCAGTTGGAATGCCTTCTGTTTTTGTTCCTACTTAGCAGGGGAGGTGAGGGGTGAGGAGACAGCCAGTTGCAGGATAGTCACTTTCTCACGCAGGCTAGAGGAGACAGCAAGATACTTTCAAGCCAGAATGTCCTCCCAGGCCTGCAGGTTCCTGGTCCTGCTCACTTTACCACCTACCCACCAAGCTTTCCAGGTGGTGGAGGCAGAGTGTAGCTTAGTGCTAATGGAATGGACCATGCCCCAGGGACCACTGGGCCATAGGGGTTGGGAGAACACTGCAGGCTTACATGGTTGGGGCTGGAGGAGTATCCCAGGGAGGAAAGGAAAAGCCCAAAGTTACAGAAATGGCAGTAGTAGAGGCAATCGTGGGTCTAGTGAGTTTGGTGATCAGGCTAGCTTTATCCATGAAGCTACAACATGGTGAGTTCAGTCACTAGATATTCATAGGCCTGAAGTCCCTTGCACTGGCAGCCTCATGAAGATGAAATACATGCAGCAGAAATGCTGAATGATCAATCTGACAGATCAGTCCTCTGAATTCTGGGCACGAAAAGAGGGGCAGATCTCAATGTTGAGGCAGGAGTATCATAAAATGTCCTTAACTAGAGAAAATGGGTCGAGAAATGTCTGGGACCTAGGAACCACATACATTCTTCCTTGAGTTTCTAAACAGCCAGTGCCTTTTTTGTAGAAACTGCATTAAAGTTGGACAACAGGGGCTGAGAAACATCAAGCAAGGACCTCCTTTTCTATGGGTCCTATGTCATAAACTCTTGGGATTTTAATATGGTGGCACTTTATACAATTCATGGTTTTAAAAATTGGCCCTTGTAAAACTCTTCTTGAAAAGCTTGTTGGAAAATAGCTATACTAGAAAAATGAGAGGGCCAAGGGAGAACAAGCACTTCAGACCATCGTTGCAGTGGCTGTTTTGTCCTTCTAAAGCCTGCTCTCATACACAACACGCTGCTATGCACAGGCTGACTGTAAGCTGCAGCATTCTTGCAGCAGTCAGGAAGGTTCAGTGGAGTCAGGTTGCTGATTAAGGGGAGCATAAAATACCAGCACTAGGGCAAAGTGCAGGCTAGATGAGTGGAAAGTCCCTTGGGTTCCACAGGGCACCAAGTAATAGACCTGTCCATATTTTTCTTACTGCTAAAACTTTGAGGCTTTGGGTGGGTTTATCTGCAGCTAAAGTGACCTCTGAGAGGACACATCTATCAGAGATGATTGCAACTAACTCCAAGCGTCCTTTCTCATGGCATCCTTACCAAGCCTGATTAGTGTTTCCAAAAGATGAACTAAACTCACCGTGCTGGAGCCTCACAGATGAAGCCAATCCATCACCAAACTCAAGACTCAAGACAGCCCCTACTCACTGTGGCCTCTGTGACTTTGGGCCTTTCCTTCCCTTCCTGGAATACCTTCCTCTGAAGCAAGTTGCCCAACCTGCAGCCTACAGGCTGTGTGCAGCCCAGGACTTTGAATGTGGCCCATACAAGTCCATGAACTTTCTTGAAACACTATGAATTTTTTTTGGGGGGGATGGCGATTTTTTTTAAGCTTATTAGCTATCGTTAGTGTTAGTGTATTTATGTGTGGCCTAAAACAATTCTTCTTCTTCCAATGTGGCCCAGGGAAGCCAAAAGATTGGACACCCCTGCTCTGATGCATTCCCTGACTGTATTAGCCTGCAGTGTTCTCCCAACCCCCACAGTCCAGTGGTCTCCAGGGCATGTTCCATTCCATTAGCACACTGCAGCATGTTGCTCTGATCAACTGTCAAGGGCAGCCCAGCAAGGGTTGCTGTTATAGGCCAAATTGTCTCCCCACACCCCAAACTATTCACATGCTTAAGTCCTAAGCACCAGGACTTCAGACTGTGGCTGCATTTGGAGGTTAGGCCTGTAGATGAATGATTAAGTTAAGATGATGCCATTAGGGTGGGCCCTGATCCAATCTGACCACTGTCTATAAGAAGAGGAGACTGAGAGACATGGAGACACACCAGGGGTGTGCAACAGGAGATAGCCACATGAAGAAGCAGTAAGGGAGCAGACACCTGCAAGCCAAGGAGCGGCACCTCACAGGAAACCAACCTTGCCAGCACCTGACCATGCATTTCCAGCCTCCAGAGCTGTGAGAAGGTAAATTTCTGTTATTTAAATCACCCAGTCTGTGGTATTTTATATAGCACCCAAGCAAACTAACACAGGTGCTCAAACCAAGAAAGACAGGCCTTAATGGTGACGCTGAAACCAGGGGCCACTGACATCTCCCAGGAACTCCCTGCAAGGCTCAACACTGACCACTCCCCAAGCGCTGGTGCTCTTCCAGGTGATCACAAAGCACTGTTCTCAGGCACCTTCCCTTAGGCAAAGACAGTCAATCCTGCTTTCAATGTCTCACTTCTCTCATTCTTTGATAAGAAAGCACAACAGTCAGGCTTGCAATAAGTACTCAAGAAATGGAGATGACCTCTACTCACTGTTCAGCCACATTTGGGTCAAGAGAATCAGTTTCAGTGGGTGTCTCAGGCAAGGAGGAGCCGGACTCCTGTATCTGGCACAATTCCTCATCTGTGATGATATCAAACACAGCATCGTCTGGTGGCCTGTAGTCTGTGATTGCTCCTGGGCAGCAGAGGCAGATCGGGAGAGAAGAGACACAACACACTGTTATGCATAGGCTGGGTAGGGGCCCTCAGGAAAGTGAGGGAGTGCAGCTATGCAGAACAAGCTGCTGAGGTACAGTTTAATTAGTCACTCAACTGACAGCTGTTCTTTCCAGAGTTAAGAGAAACAGTTGCTGGGACATTCCAAAAATGTAGAGGAAGGCTTACAGATGAAATGGTATGCACAACCTAAGAGGCTTCTCAAAGTCAGGGGCTTAGAGAGGTTTCAACCTCTTGTGTATTCTCTGAGGTCCCTTATTCGAAAGGAAAAACCTTATTAAAAAAGCACTTTGGGAGCACTTTGGGAGGCCAAGGCTGGTGGATCACTTGAGCCAAAATGGTGAAACCCTATCTCTAATAAAAATACAAAAATTAGCCAAATGTGGTGGTGGGCACCTGTAATCCCAGCTACTTGGGAGGCTGAGGCACAAGAATCACATAAACCCAGGAGGCAGAGGTTACAGTGAGCAGAGATTGTTCCACTGCACTCCAGTCTGAGAAACAGAGTGAGACTCTGTCTCAAAATAAATAAATAAATAAAATGAGCAGAAGGGAAATGTCAAAAATCAAAACAAGCGACCTTAGCACTCTGTGGTCACTAATGAGTCAGGGCAAGCCCATGCATAGGTTCCTGGGGTGGTTAGCAAGAAAAATGGTTCATGTGAACTTAAAGTTCTTATCTGGACCTGCCATATGACCACTAAGACAGGCCCTGCTTTAGAAGGGAAGTTCTTCTTGCCCCAAGTTTATGTAACAGAGAGCTTGAGGCATATGCTAAAAAAGGGGGCCAGGGATTGTTTTTTTTCCATAGACCCAGCCATACTCCTGAACCTGCCTTGTAAGGCTGGCAGAGGGAAGGGAAAAACAGACAACAGGGATCTAAAATGATGTCCACTGACAGAAACCAAAGCCCTAAATAAATAGAAAATTATACCATGCTCATGAACTGAGTCAATTTTATTGAGATGTCAATTCTCCCCAAACTGAACTATAGAGTCAATGCAATTCCAATATAAGTATCACCAGGAGTTTTTGTAGAAATTGACAAACTGATAACTAAAACTTATATAGAAAAACAAAAACCTATAATAGCCAATACTTTGATAAAGAACAAAACTGGAATCACTCTACCTAATTTTAAGAAGCTTTTTAAAACTATGGTAATCCTAACAGTTGGGTATTGGCGAAAGAATAGGCACATAGATAAACGGAATAGAATAAAAGTCCAGATATAAATCCACACATATAAGGTCAATTGCCTACTTTCTCATGGCAGCATAAAAAAAAATAAGGTCAATTTTTGACAAAGGTACAAAGGCAATTCTACAGGAAAAGAGAATAGTCTTTCAATCAATGGTGTTGAAATAACTGGACAACTATATACAAAAAGATGAACCTCTATTCATACCTTTCACCATACACAAATATAACTGATTAATCATAGACCTAAATGTATAAACTAAAGCTATAAAACTTCTAAGGGACAATGGAAGGTCTTTGAGCTAGATATGACAACAAAAAGAAAAACATTTATCCATAACAGAAAAAAAACTGATGAACTGGACCTCCTTAAAATGATAAACTTCTGCTCTTTGAAGACTTTTTTGCTCTTTGAAAGAAAATATAAAGACAAGCTATAGAGTGGGAAAAAGGTACATACCTGAAAAAGAACTTGCATAGAGAATATACAGAGGACTCTCAAAATTCAGTAATTAAAAAATATTTTAAAATGGGCAAAACATTTGAAGATAAACTAATGCTGTGCAAAGTACACTCTCTGTCCTGATCAGTTCTTTGTACCCAACAACATAATGGGGCCTGCCAACCACTTGGTAATCCACTCAAACAAAAGAGGAATGGACAGCATTTCTAAAGGCTGGCTGGCCTGCATCCATGCAGAGGCCAAGGAGGAGTTCACAGGGACCAATTGCAATGGCAATGAGGCTAGAGCAGAGATAAGCTGAGACCACTTCTGCCTGTGCCTTCTCAGCTCTGCCTCCCTGTGCTACACATCCAAAGTCCAGTGCCCTGGAGGGCAGCCCAGGTCTATCTGTTAGGGTGTGCTCAAAGCAGATGCAGCAGAACTCAAACTCTACTTCCTTTACTGGGCTGAGTGAGAGGACACAAAGGAGATTACATCCTCCTTGGACATGAAGGGAGAGCGAGCTTCAGGAAGAGAGTGAAGAATGTGGATGGTTCCTGACACAACTCCTAGCCTTGAGTTACTCTGGATGCCAGGGCTGAGGCCCTGGTAGACAGCATTTTCCAAAGCCTGGGATGTATTTCACAGATGTGCATTAAGATGTACATAGACTTCATGGTAAACCACACTGAGGCCAGGTGTGGTGGCTCATGCCTGTAATCCCAGCACTTTGGGAGGCCAAGGTGGGCGGATCACGAGGTCAGGAGTTTGAGACCAGCCTGACCAACATGGTGAAACCCCATCTCTACTAAAAATGCAAAAAAAACCAAAAACCAAAAAACAAAAAAAACCAGCCAGGCGTGGTGGCACGTGCCTGTAATCCCAGCTGACTTGGGAGGCTGAGGCAGGGGAATTGCTTGAACCAGGGAGGTGGAGGTTGCAGTGAGTTGAGATCACACCACCACACTCCAGCCTGGGTGACAGTGAGACTCCGTCTCAAAAAAATGAATAAATAAAACCACCCTGAATCTTATCAGGAGAGAGTTATTCCCTTTTCAAAAACCACACTGAATCTTACCAGGAGAAAGTTATTCCCTTTTCAATTCTCTTTCAATCCTAAGCACATCAAAATGAAAGTGTCAAGCTGGTGGTAACATATTTTAGCACCTCTTTAATATGTAAGTTTAGAAAACACTGAATTCAGCTTTTGAGCACTAACTAGACACAACTTGGTAGGGGTGGCACCTAGAGAACATAGTAGGCAGTAACGGGGGCCTGACCTTGGTGTCCTGTGGCCTGGGGCCCAGCTGAGGCTGGTGATAGTGCAGGGCTGGGCTCTCCCTGGCTAGTGCCTGAGCCAGTGCTATCAGGGGAGCCAGGGCCTTCACTGAGCTTCTGGAAACAGGCTCGGCAGCAGCGCTCCTTCTTGCCACCGTGCTTGGTTAGGACGTAGTTGTTGCAGCAGTAGTAACAGAAGATGCGGCCACATATCCTGGGAACAAAACAAGCCCAGGCTGTGAGGACGATACACTATGATCTTGTGTGATCTGCTCACTACCCAAACTGTGCTCTGGCTGCCACATAACCCTCATCAGACTCGGCTCTGCCCCTACTTTAGGATGTAGCCATGAGCTCATTTCATAAGATTCCAACAAAGCTCTCTTGTCAGCTTGGTGAAAGAATGTTTTACTTCCTGAGGTCTTGGGAGGCAGGGAGATAAAGTATGGCTGAGCCCACCTTCCCTGGCACCAATTTGTAGGTATTCCTCCCATATCTCAGGGGCAAAGGCTCTAAGAGACCACAGACCTCCACAGCTTTGAGAATTATTCTGCACCTGCCCCTAGCCCAGCCAAAGATTCATCTTTACCCAACCTTCTCTGGCTTTTGTGCCCCTGGCACTGCCTGTGCTCCTCTAGTGAAGCCTCAGGCCAGCTCTCGTCGGCTTCCAGTAACGCTGCTCCTCTCTGGTCCCTATAGGCTGAGGAATGGTAGAAGAACTGCTAGCCTCTGGGTATGCCCCACCCCTGTGGGCCCCACTAACTCCATCCACATCTCTGTATTTAGTTCTTCCCTTTCAGGGAGCCCTGAATGTTCTGCTAGGATCCCAACTAATACACCTTCCTCACCTGGTTCCCTTAAAGCCAAAATGCAATGTGCTCCTCCTAAATACCAGCCATGGTGCCAACATCTATTACAGAGTGCCAACACCTATCACAGAGTCCTCTTTCAGAGTTGTCTGCTCTGGTCCTGGGCCCCGCCAGGGTTTTGGTGCCAGCCCATGAGCCCCCTGCTGACCTACAGTGGTGCCGCCGCACCATCCAGCTGAACTCCCGCTTGCAGTCGAGGCAGTGGTTTGCCTCCGTGTCCCCGAGCCACCTCTCCTCGGCACTGAGCTTCTGCTGGAATTCCAGGGCATCAGACTTCTGCCAGAGAGCATCCTTGTCCCTGGGACAAAACCCCATTGGAAGAAAAGCAGAGAGAATCCATGAAACCAATAGGACGATCTTGTTTCATTTCGAAAGACATTTCCTAAGTCATAGAAAGAAAATTCACTTTCACCTTGTAAATATGCCCTAGCCCATGCTAGGTCTCTTCCATCTCCCCCAACATGCACACTTAAGTGACACCACAAGAATGAGAACACACGGGAGGCAAAAGATGTACACAGAAGGCACTGTCAACTGCAAAGAGCTGTCAGCACCAACGAGGGCCACTACTCAGGCACCTAAACAACAGTGCTGAGGACCACTGGGAGTTCAGGCTAAAACATACTGTCATGCTGACTCTGTGTGCCCTAAGCCCAAGGACCATGAATGTACTCCCCACCCAAATCTTAATGTGCTTGGGGTCCTTTATGCTTCTACGGTTGGTCCAAGTAATAGTTAATCAGTGGAGAAGATCAAAGATTTCCTAGCGTGAAAATCTGATCAGATGTTAGCCTCCTCTGCCCCTCAGAGAGATGGTAAGGTCATTCCAGGAAGCCAGAACGAAAGAAGTGTGAGGCTTTCCAGAAAGGTCTGGCAGTGTCAGAATGTGCCTGATGCCATGGAGGGGGAGGATGTGAACAGAGGCTTCCTCAGGGAAATTAATGAGCATTTTCAAGCTTGACGGTTTCTGAAGTTTAGTTCTTTCTCGTATGGAGCCCCAGCTGGCAACCTGAGGGCTAATGCGGCCCTAGCAGCACCGCGGCCACTGATAATGTGACACCTGAGCCACTCAGGTCCTGAGAGAGACAGGCTCCATCACTGACCAGGAACTCTCAACCAACCACAGATCGTTTGTATTAAATAAATAAGCTTGAACATGGGCTTGAATGGCTTTTTCAAGGACAGCTGAAACTGTCAGGAAGTAGGAAGACTCGTTCTCTGAAGCAGCCTCATTCTCTAGGCTGATCCACCCACACTTTGGGAATGTGGAATGCTGCCAGGAGCTGGGGGTTTTCCACCACACTCCTCAGGTCACAAATACCTTGGGTCATAACTCTGTGTAGTGATGATAAGAAGGCAGAGTTTTTAAACCTTCAACTTGGTTATAATTTTAATATCACTGTTTTGCAAAACTTAATGAATTAGCAGGTCTAGGCCTTGCTGATCCATAGTGCTGCTAACATCACAAAAAGAGGGCTAATCAGATTGCATGTGCCTCTTGAAGGAAAGACACAAAACTACAAATCAATTCTATGAAGGCTTCTTACCAAAATTTTGAACCTGAATCTAAGCAAGATACTAGTAGAATGATGGTCCTCAACTCTGGCTCACTGGTGTCAGAGTCCCACTCCCAGAAGTTGCAATTCAGTTAGCTGGGGTGGGGCTTGGACATGCGCATTTTTAAATGACTTCCCTAGTGATTCTAATACGTAGCCAGGATTGAGAACCACTGCAATAGTTGTAACTATGGACTCATAGGAAATGCAAGGGATGGATGATCGTGTTAAATGACATCACAAGGATGCAATCAGCAAAAGTAGAGAGATGGTAGGGAACCCCATAGACTAAAAAGGATGTAAGAGACACATCAATGGCAGTAGATGATCTAATTTAGATCCTGATTAGAATGACCTAAAAAAATTCTAAGGCACTGGGAAAAATTTGAAACTGACTAGATGCTTGATGATATTAAGAAATTATACTTCATTTTTTAAGATGTCATAAGGACACTGTGGTTGTTTAAAATGGAGAGTTCTGGGCCAGGCATGGTGGCTCGTGCCTGTAATCCCAGCACTTGGGAGGCTGACACAGGGAAATCACTTGAGGCCAGGAATTCAGGACCAGCCCGGCCAACAAGGTGAAGCCCTGTCTCTAATAAAAATACAAAAATTAGCCGGTGGTGGTGCGCATCTGTAATTGCAGCTACTCAGGTGGCCGAGGCACAAGAATGGCGTGAACCCAGGAGGAAGAGGTTGCAGTGAGCCGAGATCATGCTACTGCACTCAAGCCTGGGCAACAGAGTGAGACTCTGTCTCGAAATAAATAAATAAAATAAAGAAAAATAAAATAAAAGAGCCCTTGTCTTGGAGAGATACATACTGAAATATTTACGGATGAAGTGATATGTCTGGGATTTGCTTTGAAATAATCTTGGAAGGCGAAAAAGCAGGTGGGTCTACAGATGAAGCAAGACTGGCCCTGAGCTAAACACTATTGAAGCTGGGTGACAGGTACCTAGGGGTGTATTACATGATTCCATTTTTGTATATTCGAAAATTTCCATAAAGAAAAGTTAAAAGAAGTTTTGAATGACTTGCCAACATTACAAAATCAGGACATTTCACATGAAAATCCGGGTTTCCATCTTCTCTTGAGAAGTAAGGTGGTCTGGCAGTTTTGAGCCAAGACAGATGTGGAGAAGCAGAGCCCAGTTGTGTCCCCAATTTCTCACTGTCCCCTCCTGACCCAGGTCAAATTTACATCAGCTGCAGTACCTGTAGGCACTGGAGTCTGGGACTCCTAGTACTGGGGAAAGTGAGATGGAGGACGAGAGAGGGGCTCCTGAGAGAGGGCAAGAAAATGAAATTTCTGAACTGTGCTTTCAAGAATAGCTACATTTCTTTAGAAAAACGCAAGTGTGGGGAAAACCCCAGCTGCTGGTTTGAGCCAACACTCACCTGAGCAACTCTATCAGCCGCTCCTCGAGATACCTCTTGGTTCTGTTGAGGTCATCCAGGTCAGCGAGCATCTTCTGGTCATTCCTCTCGCGGTCTGTCACCGCCTGGCAAAGTTTGTTGTAATACTCTTGGATTTTTATTGAGGCTTTTTCGAGTTCCTTCTGGGTCCTGGGGGAGGAGAGGTAAGTTTTCTTGATTACTCAGGACTTCCAGCTTCCCCAGGGCTTCTAGGCTCACCCAGGACTCTAATGAGGGGTGCTACTGCTGCCACCGTGGGGGAGCCCCTTAGTACTATCTGCTCACAGGTTATGCAGTCTCTAGCTTTTGAGACTCTCCTCACACCCCCACATACAAAGGGGCATTCTGGGAGGGAGGACAGGCTGACCCCAGGTTGCCAGAAGCACCCTAAGTGAATAGAACTCTGCACTTCTTTGCTCCTGGACAGGGGCTGAGCTTGTGAGAGGAGCCTGGTAGGCAAGGCTCCTGGGCTGGTGATGGGGAGGATGGGCAGGATGAGAAAGGAGTCAGGACAGGCAGGACAGAGGTGTAGCTTCCTGGAGGTGGCCGCACGGAGGAGGGCCTGCCTTCCACACATCCTTGGGACCCTACACGGGGCGTGGGTGCTGGGCCCACAGCAGCACTCAGTCTCAATCTGTACTGCCAGCTATTCTACCTGACAGCCCCCTGAGGCCCAGGGAATTCCATTTTGGGTGCTACAGGATGTCTCAGTTTACAGCAGAAGCCAGCTGAATCTCGCTGTCTTCCTGACCCCACCTACTCCATTTTCAACTCAGCTATCCACTAAGGCAGTGGTTTTCCAAGGGGGGTCCAGTGGGACATAATAAAAGCTCCATTAAACAAAGGGCTCTGCAGAGAGACTGATTAATTTATACCTAATGCAGCCCTTCCACATCTAGTATAAAGTTGCCAGGGAGTTGTTTACTAAACCCTGTCCACCAAAATGACTTTATAGGTGCACCCACACCCACACCATACACCACACACACACACACTGAATAAAATAAGTTGGCAGACAGACTGTGCAGCTTTGAGCAGCTGAAACAAATGCTCTGATATCTTACAAATAACCACTGTTCTGGCTGAGTGTGATGGCTCACACCTGTAATCCCAGCACTTTGGGAGGCCAAGGCAGGTCGATCACCTGATGTCAGGAGTTTGAGACCAGCCTGACCAACATGTACTAAAAATACAAAATTAGCCAGGCATGGTGGCACATGCCTGTAATCCCAGCTACTTGGGAGGCTGAGGCAGAAGAATTGCTTGAACCTGGGAGGCAGAGGTTGCAGTGAGCCAAGATCATGCCATTGCACTCCAGTCTGGGCAACAAGAGTGAAACTCTGTCTCAAAAAAACAAAACAAAACAAAAACCAAAGCAAAAATAAACAAACAAACAAAACACTGTTATAGCATGTTTTCATGCCACCAACTCAGGCTCTGTTTAAACTGTCATATGAATATGACTTAGCTAAGAGGCAGCCAGTGCCCTATAGGATCTTAACACTGGAAGGGTAAGATGAAAAGAAATGTATGTCCAGGATCCTGGATCTCCCATTGAGCCAGAGCCCAGTTCTAGAATGCAGGTGGTGGGAAGAGGTAATTGATAAATAGAAAAGTTAGAGACTTGGGACAGTTTGGTGTGCTTATCTTTGCTGGTAGCACACATGCAATTCAATTCCAGCAACTCTGCCTCCCTGCTAAACCTTTTTTTAATCAGGTCCTGGCTCAACTAGCTGCGTCCCATAACCACATGGTGGACTTAGGCTCACAACTCCACGTGGCCCCAAGCCTCATGATGAGGGGGGTCAAGGAGGCCTTGGGGTGGCAGAGTGATCTGCTCTCCACAGATAGGGCATCAGAGAGTCTGCACAAAGACAGGCTGGTCCTGGTCCTTGGCACACTCATCTTCCTCATCCATAAAATGGGGATAAATGATAATTCTTTCCTCACAGGACCATTAGGAGGATTAACTGGGTTAATGTATGCAACATATTTAAAACAGAGCCCGCCACATTTTCAGCATTATTTAAATATATGCTGTTAACTAATTACATTTTTATGATCTAACTTTCATTTCATTTTAGTTTTTCCAAAGCTTGCCGTTACTGAAGTATGCACTGCGACATGCCAGAGAGTAGACAATCGAATTAGGAGAAAGGTGCCTTAGCCATGTATAGGTTCTGATGGGCAGGCAGCCAGGTTCTTTGTGGCACACGCTTTCTGAGCATAAGCACTTTCTGAGTTTGTGGCTTTTCTTGCAAAAGGACTTCCTAAACCTAGTATGAGTGACTGACTTTCTAAATGACGGGACCAAACACTCCTTCCCTGAAGGCTACCGACAGCCGTGTAGGTGGACTGTGACTAACCTTTCTAGGTCTTCACGCAGGGCAGCCCCCTCCTGGTCCTTCCTCAGCATGGCTGCCTGGCACTCTGCAAGGTGGTTGCTGGTGCAGCTCAGCTTCTCTCCCATGTCTGCTTGGGTGGCCTGGCACAGGACAACAGGGAGGAGACACTCAGCTTGCAGAAGCCCATGCAACGTACCATAAAGTGACTGGTATGCCATCCACCCCATCTGGCTGGGTCACTTCTAAATGGAGGGTTGTTTTCTATTAAGTTCAAGAGGCCAAGAACCTCTGCTCTATATCTGTGGGGTCTCAACTGCAACTAGTTGTGGTAGTTGGCAGGTGGCAGGTACCAGAATTTCCAGGGTGATGTTAAAAGCAGGGGTGGCAGGGAGCAGGATTCACTTGAACAAGTCACTGCTCTGAAGACTGTGGGACCAGTGCCACCCCTGCGCCCGCCAAGTTTAGAATCACTGGCTGGCGATCACCCATAGAGATAGCCAAAGCGGACAACTTATTTCCTTTCTGTATTTGGCAGCTCCAGCCAGGTGTCCAGGGAATGGAGGGGGTCAGGTACAAACTGAGGGTGTCTACAAAGGTGAACTGAGGATGGCTTCAGCCTAAGAATTTGGAGGTATGCAGGGAGCCCTCTTAAATGGTTCAGTCAAAATCACATCAGATGTCCTCTCCCTGACAGGTCCACACCACCAAGGCCTACCTTCAGCTTCCCCACAGCTTCCTCGGCAGCCTGCAGCTGCCGGCCTTGCTCCTCAAGCTGGCCTCTGAGGTTCCTGCACTCTTCGCCAGCATTCTAGAGAGGACAGGAAAGAGATCATAAAGGTAGGGTCTTTGCTCTGAGGATCCCTCAGCCCCATCACCTAAACAGATAAAACCAAGCTACCTTTCTCTTTTTCCAGGCAAACTGGCTCCTCAGTGAGCCTTGGGCTTATTAATAACGAAACACTTTCAAGCTTACTAGGAAAAGAGACTTAGCCTGGTCCCCAAATTTAGAACTTAATTTCTGCAAGGGAAAAAGTTGGCTATGAGCCACAAGGAGTTTCACGGGTGGAGTGGCACTGGGTGCGGAGGCACACCTCTGGTGGTGTGGTGGAGCTGCCTGAGAGAGGACGATTAGGAGTAGCCTGAGAGTACACAGACCTTGATGCAGGCAGATTAGTGGCGAGCCCTAGAAATCAAAGTCCCAGGCCACTCTGCCTGTCTTCACTTGTAACCATCTTTAACTCCTCATCTTTGCGCACTATCAAAGGCACACAGTAACTGCTCATCTCACTAACTTGTCTGTTCCAAGGGCCTTGTAAAACTAAGTGAGTTGGTTCCCTACCCTGCACCTGCTGTCAGGAGAGCACCTGATGGGGTTGGTTATTCACTAAGAACCCAGAGACAGGACGTAAGCAGCTGTGAACTGCTGGCTCACTGCAGGGGTTTTGGAGGCTAAGTCAGGGCTCTCACACTCACATGCCCAGAGGAGCTGGGCAAGTACAGAAACGAATGTAAGGAAAAGTCCAGAGGATGCGTGCCTCCTTTAAAGTGGGCAGCCACCCTCAGGCTCCTGCTGACTATCTTCAGCTGCCACAGGGAGCGGGTGGGGTGAGGACGCAGGCTTTCAGATCTTCTGAGGTTTCAAAAGAAGCCCTCAAACTGTATTTGTAAACACTCTGCTCTTTCAATGTTGGCTACTAATTTTAAAAACTTCTGTGTGGGCTAATCTTGTTTGCAATGGTCTTGAGTTTAGACTTCTGGGCTAAGGCATCACTCCCAATATTCTGTCTTAACGTGTTTCCTCAGAGAAAAAGATGCTACTGTGAGTTGTGATGGCAGGACAGGACCATGAGGTGTATGCCTGCATCCACAGTACATTCTCCAGCCATCACCTGCCTCATGGCTGAAGGTGCATCATCCTTCCATGGACCCACCAGGCCTGCTCAGGGAGATGGGTAGAGCTCAAGTGGTTGAAGCTAGTATTACCTTAAGTCTGCTCTGGTAGTCCATGATTTCAGCACTCAGCTGGAACTTGAGGGTGTCAAGCTCCTGGTGTGCAGCATCCTGGAGGCTCTGGGCCCGCTGCTCGGCCTGGGCGAGCTGGGCCTGCAGGCCAGGCAGTGAGCTGGCTGCTGTCTTGGCCGCCTTCAGCTTCTCCTGCAAGCTCTCCTTCTCTTGCTGCAGCCCAGCTACTTGGCGCTCCAGGCTCTCTCGCTCCCTTGAGGCTGCCTCTTTGGAATCCCGGAGCTCCTGGACAGCACGGGCCAGTGCCTCCTCCACCCGTTCCTTTTCCATGGTCAATGCACAAACCTGGATGCCTAGCTCGGCTGTGTCCGTGTTGGCCTGGTGCAGCTGCTCCTGGAGCTCAGAGTGCTCCAGCTGTGCTTCCTCAGAGCTGCATTTGGCCTGGGACAGCTCCTCCTGCAGGGCCCGCAGCTCCTCCTCCCTCTGCTGGGCCTCACCGGCCCTCTCCTCCTGCAGCATCCCTTCACGCTCTGAGCACTGCAGCAGCTCCTGGACATGGGCCCTGTTGAGGGCTTCATTCTGTTCCTTTAGCTGCTGCACAAGTGTCTTGTGCTCGCTCAGGACTGCCTCAGCCATGCTCAGCTGGCTCTGCACCTTGTCCCGGTCATCCAGAGCTGCCCGCATCTTAGCCTGCAGGTCCACCACCTGAGCCTGCAGCCGCTGGGCCTCCCCCTGATGGACTTCCAGCTGCGCCTGAGACACAGCCAGCTGCGCAGCCAGCTCACGGGCTTCACTGTCGGGGAGTGGGCTAACTCCCTGCTGGCATTTCTCTGCTGTGAGGACCTCGATCAGCTGGGTCTGCTGGTGGCACTGGCTCTCGAGAGCCCTAAACTCTCTGTGCCGGGCCTCTGCCAGTTGCCGGCACTGCTCCACCTCCTCCCGCAGCTGCTGGCACTCACCCTCCTTGCTCTGCAGAGCGGCCTCCTTCTCTGCCACCTGGGCTTTCATGGCCTTCTTGGCCTTCCTTACAGCCAGCAAGCTTGCCTCCATCTGCTCGCCCAAGTGCCGGATGCTGGCCTGCTCCGCCTCCAGGGAGGCCAAGGAGCCCTGGATGGCTGCTTCCCGCTGCTGCAAAGCCTGGTAATCGGCCTGCAGGGCCTGCAGCTTGCCCTCCAGGAGCTGGTTACGCCCAACCACATTCTGTAGCTCCTTCTCTAGCTCCCTGTTGGCCTGCTGGAGCTCTGCCTCCTGGCTGCCCTCCTGCACCTTGGTATCGTCTAACTGTGCCCCCTGCAGGCTCCTCTGCTCCTCCTCCGGCTTCCCACAGGCCACTTGCAGAGGGGAGTTCACAGGGACCAGGGTCTCATTCTTCTCATCTGCCACTGGCAGTTCTGGGCCGGGCTGCCCAGCAAGCCGCTCCAGCACACCCACCTTCTGGCTGAGGCGGTCTTTGTCCTGGATGAGCTGCTTCTTCTGTTCCTCCAGGTCACTCACATGTTGGTTCACCTGTGCCAGCTGGGTCTCCAGGAACTGCAGCTGCCGGGTCAGAGATGTTACCTCCTGCTCCAGCAGCTCCTTCTCCTCCTGTCGCTGTTTCTCCTCCCGTCGCAACTCTGCTAGCTCCTCCTCCCGGGCGCTCGAGTGGGCCAGCAACTCCTGCAGCCGTCGCCAGAGCTGGTCTGCCTCCTGTCCCTTCCCAGACAACTCCTCCTGGAGTGGGGCCACCTCCTTCACCAGGCGCTCCAGGTTGGCCTGGGCGTCCTCTTTCAGCTGCAGCTCCTTGGCCAGCTGCTCCAGCTGGGCACTCTGCTGCCTGTTGACCTCTTCAACCTTGGTTCTCTCCCTTTCCAGGGCTCGAAGCTTCTCCTGTAGCTCCTGGATCTCCCGAGCCGCATCACTGGGAATGGGTTCTTGCTGGCCCTTTGTGTCTGGTGCCGCATCAGCCTTCTGCTGAGCCATAGCCAGCCAGTCTGGGATGCTGGCTAAATGCTGGTTCCTCTTGCCCAGTGAATCCCGTGTGGCCTCAAGCTCCTGTGCCAAGGGCTGCAGCAGGGACTCCAGCTGCCGCAGGGCTGTGTGGTAGTCCTCCTTTTCTGCTGCTCCTAGCTCCAGGGCCTGCAGGCACGTCTGTAGCTCCTTCACAGTGTTCTGGGTGGCCTGGGTTACCTCCCTCTGCTTCTGGAGCTCAGCCACCAAGCAAGTGAGGCGAACATTGTCCTCTGCTGCAGTGCGCCCTCTCTCCCTCTCTGTCTGCAGTTGCTCCCCTTGCAGGCTGACAGCTGCCCTCAGCTCCTGGTTCTCTCTGTCCAGCTGCTGCATGCGCTCCTGCAGCTGCTTTTCCCGCACCTCCAACTGGTCCAGCTCTAGCCGCATTTCATCAAAGCCCTCCAATGCCTCATTGTTTAGGGGACTGTTAAGGTCAAAATTGGATGCCATCTCTTGAGTCTGGGAGAAAAACACAAAAGACATGTGTGGCTGAAGCTACATGGTTACTCAGAAAACCTTTAGAGTTTAATGAGAGCAGAGGTAAAAATACAGGCATTAGCTGCCCTAAGGTTAGTCTAAAGAACTATTCAAAAGACTAGAAGAATCCCTTTGCTCAAAGCATCTACCACACATTTGGCAGCAAACTGCAAAGACATGAAGTCACCCATGTGAGCTCCACTAAGATACAGACTTGCATTTCCCATCCAGCCCCCTTCAGCTTGATTCCCTTAATGGACATTGTCTCTGAGAAAAATTCAATTATATCTAAGCTGTTGTTTATTCATTGTGCCATACCCATACCTGTAACTCCTAGCATGATTAAGCCACAAAATAAGGTAAAAGATTAATCTTTTGTTTAATTGTTCCTTATATTGATCGTTTTAATTTTTTTATTGCTGATCAGTTTCCATAGAACTATATACAGCTGTGATATATTCACATTTCTAAAAAAATTAACAAAGTGTCCCACCTACTAACATTGACTGAGCCCTCACATATGTCAAGCCCTTAAGCAATTAACATATGCTTAAGAACCGTACACGCACTCCCTCATTTATGAGCTAGAGTGATTTTTATTATCACCATCCTGTGGATGAGAGAGCTGAAGGTCAAGTAATTTCCCCTTGGTCATAGCTGGTAGGTGAAAGTCAAGATTTGACTCTGTCACTTTGGTGCTAAACTGCTTTTTAAAAAAAATACTTTAAAATCATTTAAGAGAATTTAATTTTAAGAGAGCCTAGATTCTATTTGGTTGAAAAACCCAGACTCCAGGGAATAGTGGCTATAACTGAGTGGTTCTTCCAGCTGTGGCTGGAAGAACAGGTGTCTGAGAACATCACCCTTGAGTTGCTAGGGGCAAGGACATACCCTGGTAGAAACTACAGTAAGATAATTCCCAGCCTTCCTGGCCTTACCTGCAGGTAGGTGCTCATCAAACTGCTCATGCTGGAGCTGCGGCTAGGGGGTTTCCATAGGTAAGCAGAAGAGCCAGTGGCCAGCGTCCTCCTGTGGGGCCACAAAACAGATATACCTGTATTCAGAGCAGGAAACATACACACATGGAGCCCTTGCTGGTCACGAGGCAACCACATGGTGGTAGGGGACTGCCTTCCCAGGTAGAATGTAAGGAAGTCAAACCCAACAGATTCCACCAAGGAGCACAGCTACACTGGTCTGTACCAGACGAATTCCATGGCTAGAGTTTTATTATCATGGCTTTCTTCCCACTGCCAAAAAAGAATTAAGTGAACATGTATTTTCCAATTTTTGGTTTAAATTTTTCTTGGGCTTTTGGTGCCTCCCTCAGTCTGTCGGCCAGTGAGGAACAAGCAGCAGTCAGTTTGCTAAGTAAGAGTCACACTGTGCTTGTGGGGCCAGCTGCCGCTCTGCATGACACAGCAACAGGGGGGAGGCCTGCTTCTAGGTCACATAACCAGGCCGGACAGTGCAGATACAGAGCATTTCCCTCATTGCAGAAAGTTCCTTTGGATGGCATTGGTTTAGAAATACAAAGGCTTGTGTGATAACTCTCATTTAGCAGGAACACTGGAAACTAAACATATTTTTCACTTCATCAGAATCATCTCCTCAATCTAAAACTATTGTGTTTTCAAACTTAGTCTCCACAACCCAGCAATTGATCTTTGTAGTATCTTCCCTGAAGGCAGTCACATATGTACATAAGGAGCTGGTGGGGATGCTCTTGGCAGCACTGTAACTGGAAAAAGGGAAACCAAACCAACTCTACATTGCTAGGGACAGAGACATAATGTGGTTTATTCACCCAGCAGAATTCTCTACACCATGGGTTGGCATTCTTTTTTTAAAAAAGGGCCAGATAGTAAATATTTTGGTCTTGTGGGCTATATGGTCTCTATCACTCAGCTGGCACTGCTAGTGTAAAAGCAGCCATGGACAATAGGTGAATAAATGGGCAAAGCTGTGTTCCACATGGCCCTGTGGGCTGTGGTTTGCCAACGCAATTCTATACCTATAGAACTCCATGTATGTATAAACAGATACAAAATCTCAAAAACAATGCAGAATGAAAACAGCAGGCTGCAAAAGAATAGATATCATATGATTCAACATGTGTAAAATTATATATATACATACACACATACACACACACACACACACACACACACACACACACACACACACAGTATTTACAAATACCCAAGTAATAGTGAAAGCGTAAGATTTGGGAATGACTACAGGGCCACTGATTACAGGGCCATGATTACGTCTGAAAGGGGAATAAAGGAGAAAGGATGGCAACTGATCGATAATATTTTATTTCTTAAAAAAAGTATCAGACATAACTAAACCTCCCCACAAGAGCCAGCCTGAAGGGGCTCCCACTGGGATAACTGGATAAATGGGATAATTTAAGCTTCAAAATAAATAATGTCAGTAACAGAATGTACTGGACTGTATTGAATAAAATAAGAATCCACGAGTCAATACTGGTGTAAATGAATAAATGGGGAAAAAGGAAAAGATATTCCTCACAGAAGAACGCCAACTAACAATGTAAAAGGAACAATGGAGTTAGAAAATCACTCTGGTAATGATGATGGTAGTAACTGCTTCAGGCAAGAATTATCAAATAGTATTAAAACTAATACATGACAGATTTAAGAGAAAAAAGGATAATAATGTAATTTCAGTGTGTCTTCCCATAAGATACATATTCATTACAAAGGGAGAAATAGTAACTTTTGAAGAAACCTGCCAAGTCCTGCCTTACCCAGATGACTAGGGTTAACTTCATTAGCAAATCAACGTTGTGTGCCTCCAGATACAGCGTGCTGACAAGGACACAACATCTGAGGTATTCCTGCCAAAAATGCTTAACCTAAATCCAACAATGAGGAAACATCAGACAAACTCAAACTAAGGAACATTTTACAAAGTAACTGGCCTGTATTTTTCAAAAATGTCAATGTTATGAAAGACAAAGACTGAAAAACCCTTCCAAATTAAAGGGGACTAAAGAGGCTTAGCAATTAATGAATTAACAATTAACATGTGATCTGAGATTAGATCTTAGATTATGAGAGACATTATTGAGATAATTTGTAAAATTTGAATGAGGTCTGTAGATGAGATAGCAGTATTGTATCAACGTTAATTTTCTGATTTTAATAACTGTACTGAGTCATAGAAGAGGATGTCCTTTGATTTTAGGAAATATACAATTAAGTACTTAAGAGAAATGAGGATCAAGTCTGTAATTTACTCTCAAAAGGCTTAGGAAATAAATCAACATGTAAATAGAAAAAAGATAAACAATTATAGTAAAATATCAATAACTACAGAATCAGGATGAAGGACAGATGAGTACTTTGAGTACTTTGTACTATTTTTGCAACTTTTCTATAATTCTGAAATGATTTCAAAACGCAAAAGTTTTAAAAAGAATATCTGGGTCGGGCATGATGGCTCACACCTGTAACCCCAGCAGTTTGGAAGGCCAAGATAGGAGGACTGCTTGGGCCCAGGAATTCAAACCAGCCTGGGAAAAATGGCAAGACTCCATCTCTACAAAAAATTAAAAAAGGACATCTGAATACGGCAAAATGTAAGCTATTAAATCCTGGTGGTTTTCATGTGACTAACATATTCACTACTTTTCTCTATATGTGAAGTGTCGCCTAATAAAAAATACAAATGTTAAATTTTAAAAGCCTTATTAACAGAAAACAAAACAAAACAAAGAATGCTGGACTTGAGTTCAACCCGTCAGGTGTCCCAGGCCTGCTGCCCACCAGCTGGGTGACTTTGTCAAGTCCCCTGATCCTCTGAGCCTATTCCTCACACTTCCTTCCTGGAGCTGATGTAAGGACTCTGGTGAGGGTGATATGTGAGTGCCGCATTGGTGTAAGATATGGCTGGTTTGATGGTCTCAAAAAAGAAAAAAAGAAGAAACAAAAATGCAGCAACCTTTCCTGCAACACTTAGGTGGACAAGCTGTGGCTTCCACTCCCTCTCCTACTGCTTAGGAGGCTTTTGTAATGCTCAGTAAGAATAGGCAGGGGAAAAGGCCACTCCTCCCCGAATGCCCATAACAACAAGTGCCTTAAACAAAATTTAAAGCCTTGGGTTTTGCAATATGCATCTCCACTGACTCATGCCCTGGCCCATCAGATTGGTTTAAGGTTGGAGCCTTCAGATGTTATTGTTAGTCATGATTCAAAAAAGTCTGTAAAAGGAGCTGGTATAAGAGTTGAACAGTTTTATGTAATTTACTGAGCAAGCAAAATTGCTTTGAGTAGACCGATGGCAATCTTCAAAACTTCAAAATGTCTCTTTCCCTGTCTTTTAAACCAAGCAATCCTTCAAAGTACCTGGCAAATGTTGGCCAGGCAGCATCCAAGTCATAGCCCCTCGATGCCAGGTCAAATTGAACCTCAGTCAGTTCATAGAGTTGACCCACAATGTCCGAGCTCAGCTTTGGCTGCAGAAAGGGGCTTCTTGCATAGTACCAGTCACTGCAGAAAAACATAAGATATGTCAATTATAAGAGTAATAACAATAAAGAAAGAGTGATTTAATCAGTCCTCGCAGTGTGGCTCTGCCTCATCGAATTCCAACTCAGGTTACTAAATTAAAAGACACAGGCACACAAACCAATTTCACTTTCACAGTAGAAGCACCTAACTCTCAAATAAGCTTGCTCTTCTTCAAAGAAATTACTGTAATGATCTGGATTCTTATTCATTTATTATATATATCATATCTACTTCTCAAAAAGGATATGGGAAACCTTAAATGTCAATTACTTGCCAAGAAAGGGCTATTGTAGGAGAAGGAAAACTTCCTTTTTGAAAGATTACCTTCTATTCCATTTTCAGAGCTAAATATGGGACACTAAACTCACTGCTAATTTAGATACCAGTTTAAGAGCCAAGGAACAAACTATTCAGAAATGTTTCAGCACCATAAGGCAGGGTGAGAAAAAAAATAAAATAAATGTTATCTGCATTTTGAGGTAGCAGTTGTTTCATTTCAGGCAATGTAACAAGAATTTTTAAAATATGGGTCTCAGCATGGTTGCTCATGCCTGTAATCCAAACACTTTGGGAAGCTGAGGCAGGAGGACAGCTTGAGCCTAGGAGTTCAAGGCCAGAGTGGGCAACAGATCCCATCTCTATCAAAAAAAATAAAAAAATAGCTGAGCATCGTGGCATGCACCTGTAGTCTCAGCTTCTCAAGAGCCTGAGGCAGGAGGACTGCTTGATCCCAGGAGGTAGAGGGTACAGTGAGCCATAATCGTGCCACTGTACTCGTCTGTGTGACAGGGTAAGACCCTCTTCCCCCTACTAGCCACCCACCCCCAAAAATGAAAAAGATGGCTGGGCATAGTGGCTTACACCTGTAATCCTAGCACTTTGGGAGGCCTAGGCAGGGAGCTCACTTGAGCCCAGGAATTTTGAGACCAGGCTGGGCAACATAGTGAGACCCTGTCTCTACAAGAAGTAAAAAATTGGCCAGGCACAGTGGTGAATGCCTATAGTCCCAGCTACTCGGAGGCTGAGGTAAGAAGATCACTTGAGCCCAGCAGCTTGAGGTTACAGTGTGCTATGATAGTGCCACTGCACTCTCGCCTGTGCAAAAAAGTGAGACATTATTGTCTGTGAACTGTGATTAAGTTGTTTATGCATCTTCACCAAATATCTAAAACAAAATAACCTTCAAATCAAATATGCAAACTTTTTGAACTCATGTCAAATCACAAGGCCTGTCACATGCATGAGAAATACAAGTACATCTCTGTGCAAATCAATCTTTAAGGTGACATAATGAAACAAAAGGTTTTCCCTTTGTAGTTTTTTTAGATTCAAAAGCGATTTCTTTGAATACTCCCAGGGAGTATTCAAACGGAAAGAGGCCAGTCAAGAGATGCTGGAAAACCCAAAGAAGTTTAGTTGACTGGTACCTGATTTGCAGCTTCTAAGCTGACACCCATTCTCCCCTTTATAGACTCAATCCCTGCCTCTCTCCTTCCATCTTCCCTGCTGAGGCTTCAGCACTACCTGCTCAAAGGCTGACCACTCACCTGACCTGTGCTCTGCAGCAGTGGCTCCCAGTTCTGACTGCCCACCACAGTCTCCAGGGAGTACAGATACCCCAGTGGGTGTTCATTTGGTATGCCAGGTGAGGACTCAGACACAGTAGTGTTAAAAACCCCACAGGTGATTCTGCTGAGAGGCTGAGGCTGTAAACTACCTGTCCAGTAGTGCTGGCACCAAGGACATGCCATCCACCAGGGAAAACGCCTGGTATCAGGAGTTAAGAGGGCAACGAGTGAGGCCTAGAGAAAAGCATTAAGCCCTGCCGAGCCTCACTTACCTATAAAAACTCAGTGCTACCTGCCCACATGTGTCAAGGACTTTGGGAGGAGGGGTGGAAGACAATGACAGATGTGGAAGGAGTCCGCAGGTGTCACGGGGGACACAAATGAGCACTGCTGTTACAGTATTATTATTGAAAAATTATCATCATTATTATTAATGAACTTCAGTTCATTTCTGCATGGGATGGTGCTAAACCTCAGCCATGTCCTGTATTTACCTGGTCACTTTGGCGTTCATGAAGCACTGCTGTAAGGTGTCTGCCAACCTCTGGTGCACCAAGGAGTAGCGAATAAATGCTCTTCCTTTCCCCAAGGATGTTCGGAGCTGGAAAAGGCAGATCACATAAAGCCAAAGAGCTGTTAGCCTAACTCCAAATACAGACCTGGTCTCATAAATGGCTTGTGAAAACCAGATACATGGCAGAAAATGTCACCCAATTCTACCCTATACATTGTCCTTCAAAGGACACAACACATTTGATACTAGCATTCAAATGCTATATCGAGAGAAAGGCTTGAAGTGGCTTGAACTACTTGCAGGCCTTCATCTAAGAATAATCTGCAGACTCCAGCAAACTTATCAAGGAAGATATAATAACGAGAGGCTTGGAAACATCTGTGGATTCTATTGGAATGTCACTTTCTCTCCTCTGCTCTATCAGAATCTCTGGGTTTGGAGTCAGAAAACCAAGTAAAACTCAGTTCTATTTTAGAGTAAAACCTAGAGGTAGGTAAATGAAAGGTTTCTCTCATCAGAAGTTAGCTTGAGAAGGAAGAGATGGTCTCAGCTCAGCTAATGCTGCTTTGTTTTTAAGGTACTGGGGGAAGAGGTGCAGGGTAAGGGCCTAAAGGGCTTGGCCGATGCATGTGCAGAAGGTGCGTGCGTGAGTGCAGGGGACCTGTAAAAAGTCTTGCTGGCCATGTAACTGCCTCATCTGTGTTCCGTGAAACCATCAGTAACATCCACAAGTCTGCCAATGCTTTCCTGGTTGGATTTCCTGCTCTTTTCCAGATATGCCAAATCACTACATGGAGTCAGAAGGAGCCCAGAGTGAGACCAGGGGTGTCTCTAGGCAGCTCAATCACACTGTGCTAAGGACAAGATGGATATGGGTCTGTCTCACAAGTTTGGCATGGATGGCATAGGAAGGCCCAGGTGCAGGCCTGCCTTCAAAACCTCTCCCCATAGAGCCTATACCTAAAAACCAATTTGGAAGAGAAGACGTGACTGGAACTGTTTTGAGGCTTAAATTCACCACTCAAAAGCTTGTTGTGACGGAGATGGGATATGTTGGTCAAAGACTCTGCCATGAGTCTGCAAAGCAGGGCTCTGCCAGCTGGGAGCATACAGTGGTCAAGGCAGATAGAATAAAGGGGACAGCCACAGAAGACACGTGGACAAGTCTGCAAATTAGGATTCATATTCCTGATAGGTCAGCCCAGAAGCTCAAGAAAGCAGGCAGGAATTCAAAACCTCTTGACCTACCACATGCACCTGCTCTGTCAGGGTCTGGCTCTGGGTAGGGTAAGCTGGGACCAATATCCTCCCCACCCCTTCAAAAGTCAGAAATATTTAAAGTATGTATATGTGGTGTGGGAAGGGATAGCAGTGGTTTGCCAAAGAGGGTTCCAATACCCCATACTATTCAGATTGTAATTCTGACACTATACTGCATCAGGAAACACTCAAGGGGGTAAACATCCTGGTGTATAGCACCTTTTAGTTCAGAGCTAAATATTTCCCAACACAATGGGGTAAACATCCTGGTACATAGCACCTTTTAGCTCAGAGCTATATGTCTTCTTACTGCTGACTCAAGGAAATGATACCATAGTACATGGTTTTTAAAAATAAAAAGGTACTGGCTGGGCGTGGTGGCTCACACCTGCAATCCCAGCACTTTGGGAGGCCGAGGCAGATGGGTCACGAGGTTGAGAGATCAAGACCTGGCCAACCTGGTGAAACCCCTGTCTCTACAAAAAAAAAAAAAAATTAGCTGGGAGTGGTGGCAGGTACCTGTGGTCCCAGCTACTTGGGAGGCTGAGGCAGGGGAATCGCTTGAACCTGGATGGTGGAGGTTGCAGTATGCTGAGATTGTGCCACTGCACTCA